ACTGTATAGTTCTAGGTTTCACATTTAAGTCTTTGATCCATCTGGAGTTTGTTTTTGTGTGTGGTGTGAGGTACATATCTTGTTTCATTTTTGGCATGTGCATATGCTTTTAACACATGCCTTTTCTGTGTCATGGCAGTAGGTAACCAGCGTGATTCTGAGGGAGATGCCTCTGTTAAAAATCTTACAGCAAGTGCACCGTGGGGCTTTGAGTATTGCTCCGATCAGTCTTGTGCATGCATGCCACTTTGAGGAGCTGCTCCTGGGAACTCAGTAAAAGGCTGTGTGGATGGAGACTTACTTATAAATAAAACTGAGAGAGACTAATTTAAAATAACAATCAAGCACTTTAAGTAGTAAATCTTATCTCTTAAAGCTCTGAGGAAGGCTGATATTTGTACTAAATTTGAATATTAATACATAGGTAAGAAATTAGAATAAGCCAACTTTGACTATGATCCTATGCTTGCATAAGGCTTAAGTTTAAGGAAACAAAATGGTTCCTTACAATCCTACATGGCCATATCCTCCCTTCCTTTCCTCTTCCCCAAATCCCCACTTGTTCTTTGGACCTATAAAAGGGTCTTAGGGTGGGAGAATAGAGAAAACACACAGGAAAGGAGAGAACGACAATACGTGCATCACCAAGAAATTTGCCTCTTATTGAAACTTGAAGAACCAACTTGGAACTAGAGTACTGCTTCTCCTAAGTGTAGGACTTTATCAGAAGCCAATTTTGATTCTCACCAAGACATTACATACTGCAAATGTGAATACATGGATCAACTAATGATTCTAAACCTCCATCTATCCCAAATCCTTCTAGTGCTTTCTTGAATAAGATGTGCCTCTCTTATGTTTATAGACAACAGGTAAAGTAGCTCTTCATTATTTCTCTCTAGAACATTCATTCTAAAATAAAATAGGCGTTATGTGTGGAGTGGCAACAAGAACATTGAGCTAAGAATGCTCCTTTTTTTTAAGACCTGAGGCCAATTCCCGAGCCCTCCTTGACTTTTGTTCTTCGTTTTGTTGAAGGAATAAGTTGAACTTGAGGACATTTGAGGGCCCTTTCAGCTCCAGGGCAGTATGATTCAAAATGCATAGTGCTTCCTGAGAAATTAGATTTTCCAGTGAGCTTCCTCCTAGTCTTGATGTATGAGATGGAGAGTACTGTGAGGGGTAGACCTGAGGCTATTTGAGCATCCTTTCGTGTGTTCCTTCATTACTTTAAATAATTTTTTTTGCTGGATTTTATTGACTCTTGGTGATTATGCTGGTCCTCATTTAAAGGACTAGTTTGTAAACAAGAAGAAAGTTGGGTGAAGTTAGCTTATGAAAAATAACAAAGAAAACACAAGAAGATAATCCTTCATCACATTTTAGAAGTGTGATTAGAGCAGGAGGAAAAGGGGAAAAAAATGAAAAGCATTAATTATGACTTAATCTTGGCTCAGTTTTTGACTGAGTTCTAGCTTGTAGTATGGACAGTTCCATGGCTAGATTTTGGTAAGTTGGTAAAGTAATGATGCATGAAAATGAACGGGAGTTAGTTCATTCTCAAATTCATGAGTTTTCTGAGCTCTGATTCTGCTTTCTTTGAGTGTTGTTGACTGCTCATTTAAAAATGACTTACAGAATGTGGATTATGCAGCTACCTTACTCCATTCTTTTAGATATAATTTTGTTTTCTTATTGAACAGTGCTAAATGGAAAGCAGATTAAGATAATTTTCTTGCATGCTAAACTACATCAAATTGTCCTGCAGAATCATTTTTCAACATATAGTAGAGTTCTGAGGAGCCATGGAAGACAGTGGTTAAGTGCTCAGCCATTCAGAAGGTCAGCAGTTCGAACCCACCAGTTGCTCAGTAAAAGAAAGATGTGGCAGTCTTCTTGTGTAAAGATTTACAGCCTTTGAAACCCTCTGGGCAGTTCTGCTCTGTCCTGTGGGGTCACTGTGAATCACACTCGATTCTACAACAGTGGGTTAGTAGAGCTCTGGATGAACATTAATTAAGAAAGTGTTTGGTGTTAAGGTCCCTGTGTGGCACAGATGATTTGCACTCAGCCAGTAGCCAAAAGGTTGATGATTCAAACCCAACCATTGGCACTGTAGAAGAAGCAGGCCTGGTGATCTTCCAGAAAGATGACAGCCAAGAGAACCCTAAGGAGCAGTTCCACTCTATAGCACACGAGTCTCCCAAGTTGCAAGTCAGCAACAAAAACAAAATCAGCAACAAGACTGTGTCGAATCTCAAGTTGTATATCAAACTGTTGAGAAGGTGGTGAAAGGAAGACTTTTTCTAGAGGATGTGGGAAGCTTGTTTCCTAATGTGGTTAGCCGAAGAGATAGGCTCACCTGGGAGCTCAGGAAGAGTTAAAATAATGGTTCTTTCTGTTCCCTGTAGATGTCTGTAGTGTCCTTTGCCTTTCCTCCTTTAATAATAGAATGATTAGAGAACCAGTTCATTCTTTCTTCCCAATGGCCCTTTCTTCTTGATGTCTTACAGCAGTTCCGTGACTGAGTTGATATTAAAACTTGATCTCCCACCACTGACTTTCCATATCAAATGTGGTCTCCCTCCATCTTGTTCATGTCTCCTCGTCTCATTTTTTCGTGTGCTTTGTAAAGCCCTGCCCTTCTCCTCTTCTGTGAACTAAGAAACCTCAGACAGGGTGTGGTTTATCCTAAGGATATACCTAAAAAGAACTCATTGCCATTGAGTTAATTCTGACTCATACTGACCCTAGAGGACAGAGTAAAACTGTGCTATAGAGTTTCTAAGACTGTAAATCTTGAAGGAGGTAGACTGCCTCATCTTTCTCCCACAGATCAGCTAGTGGACTTGAACCACTGACCTTTCGGTTAGCAGCTGAGCACTTAACCATTGTGCCAGTTGTTGTTGTTGTTGTTGTTATGTGCCGTCGAGTCGGCCCCGACTCATAGCGACCCCTCCTTGGGTTTCCGAGGCAGTATCACTACGGAAGTAGGCTCCTGATAAGGATATACCTAGGAATTAATAAAACAAAAATAGAAACAAAGAGGACTTTATATTCACAGACAGAACTCCCATGAACCCAGTGGAAGTTGAATAGTCAAACCTTATGGGAGATTATGCAGGGCAGAAACTCAAGGAAAGTTCTGGACCCACAACTACTCTAGAGTCTCTACAGCCAGAGTGGATCTTTATTCTAAATCATCCACCCTTCACATACCCTTTTTTCTTCCTTATGTTATAATGCTTGATGCTGTCTAAATTTCCATGTTCAAATTCTCAAAGAAGGAATCTCATTGGTGGTACCAATATCTGTTATCCTAGTTTGGATGGAATATTTTATACCAGATCATTCAAATGCTGCTGGCCAGTCCATGGATGACTTATCCTTAGGTTAGATGCCCACCTGTGGGCTGACTGTGTGTGGCTCCTGAAGGGAAGATGATCTTGTGACTACTAGGCTGACTACATCCCTTTCAGGCAAGAATGTGGGCAGGGCAGCTTCCATATAGGGCCTGTGGGTAAGGCAGGCAACACAATTGACATCTGGTCATATGGATGGCTATACATCTTTCCTTTGCTAGATCATCTCTCATCAGGAGTATTGACCAGGTGGCAAATGATGTCTTAGATTATAGTGAAGTGGTTCTCTCTTCAGAGGGAATGAAGGATGAGGAACAGACCCTATCAGAATATTGGATGAAGTATAGCAAAGGCAGACATGAATATTTCAAAAATAAATCACAGGACTGATTGTGATTTGAAAATTCAAATTAAGGAATGAGAGTGTGATTTTCCAGTTTCTCAGAGAGAAATATAACTTGAGAAGATTGAAAAACTGTTTTTAGTATCTGAGAGACAGGTGCAGTCCTCAAGAAGTTCACACTTCCTAATGTCCATCTATATCTTGCTTGAAGTAGCTGCTGAATTAATAAATTTTACTTATGAAGCCTCTAATGAGGCTTTAGAGAAAGTACAGAATTCCAGGATCTTAAAAAAACATATATACAAAAGAAAGAAAGTTGTGTTTCTGTAATCAAATGTGCAGTGCAGAAAACTCCCATGGTAGAAAGAATGATGGTGTGAAATGAACCTAGAATAAATTATCCTTGAAGGATTAAGCATGAGAGACCTGGATATGATAATGAGATGAGGCTGGTTGAGAGTGGCCATCTTGGCCTGGATGTACAGGACCTCACAAAGGAATGGTGGGACCTTTGGAAAGGCCAGGTGTGTTTAAGGAAATGAAGAGGATTACGTGGAATTGATATCAGTGTTATATGGTAGATGCCCTGGTGAGGAGTATCTTATCGAGGTCAGTGGAAGAAAACTGACCAGAATAGAGCTAGACTCATTTTACTCTAAGACCCCACAAATCAATAACCCTACATGATCTCTTTGGGACTAGATACAACCTTTTAGTATTTGTTAGCACAGCAATCTCCATGTCGGCCACAATGAAAGGTGACACAAAGATTACATTTTTTGCCATTCCTGGCCTAGAACTATGCTGCCCCACTTTCTGTTCCCTGCCCTTACCAAGTTTCTCCTAATCGTGGACTAAGAACTCCCAGGAATAAGGCCTGTGTGCCATGTTGCTCGTCATTCATGTTAGAAGCGTTTTGGCTCTGGGTATAACCAGGTTTTGGTGCCAGGTCAAATCATAAAGATCAAACTCTCTCTTCAATTTCAATTTCCAAAAACAAATTAGGTCCAGCTCTAGTTTCTACTCTACTCCAATGTAAAAGGGCTTCTCTGGCAATAATTTATAGGATGCCAAAGATTCTTCACCACATGGTAGCAAAGACCCCAGGGGCAGTGTCAATCTGAACCTTGATTTGCCTGCTTAGTCATCTCCTGTTTCTGAAGCTGTTCTCAGTATCCAGTTACACTGACTACTGTTTCGGTTACCTAGTGCTGCTCTGGCAGAAATATATATACCACAAACAGGAGTTTATTCTTGCAGTTTGGGGAGGGTGGAAGTCCAAGTTCAAAGTGCCAGGCTCCAGGGGCTGGGTGAAAGCCACTCAACCTTGGGCTTCAGCTCTGCCTCTTGCTCCCGGCCCACTGAAGCTGGAGGCATCTCTTCACTCAGGCAGCTGCTCACTGCTGAGACTGGCAAACCCAACGTCCACAAGTAGAAAGGCTCAGTCCCGATATTACCAAACCACATGGCAGGCCACTGATTCAAGTCCCAGAAAAGGTCCCAGGATCAGCAGAGCAATCTGGCATGCTGCTAAACACTGACTCGACTACATGCAGGGTTCACGTGTGGCAAAAGCTGTAGACCATTCCCAAAGCTTCTTATATACAGGAAGCAGACCACATGCCTAAAGCGGCTACTCAACTACTCGAAGCAGATTCCACCACAGAGTTGATTGCCAGTCTCATTGTATGGAATAACTACCACCCGCTGCCCAGCCACTCAAAACCAGGCCCAGCCAAGCTGACACACAACCTTAACTACCACAACTACCTGAGCTATTGTAACAAGTAATGTGAAGTTAAAATATGGGTGAGAGAAATGTGGTGGGTAATATATCTAATTTCAAGTTAATGTAGTAAAATAATCAATTTTAATATATTCCATAAAGGTCACTTTACTCCCTGTAAACTTTTTGTTTTCTAGACAACTGGGACTGGACCTGGTGCCTAGAAAAGAGTATTCCATGGTGGATCCAGAGGACATCAGCATTACTGAGCTCTATCGACTGGTAGGTACAGGAAACTTAGGCTCACAGCCTCACTGCTCATTTTGTGGTTTCCATGACACACTTTATACTTGCTTGATTTTGTAAGAACAGGATGTGTCAGGCTTAATTTGGAGAGAATAAAGAGCACTGAGGGCCTAGGTGGCCGTGCCCTGAGTGCAGTACCAAGACACTGCCTATCTCAGAACAATGCGATGTTCTCTACTTAGCCCTCAGCTCCTGGAAGTAAATTCAAAGAAGTTTGAAAATCTTTTGCAAATATTTGTACTTTTTGAATTGTTTTTATGTAACTCATACATATTTATCTGTTGTGTTTCAGAACAACTTTGTAAGTAATGGTATCCACTCACAGCTCTCCTATATCTTAACCCTCCTCACTATCCCCATTGTCACAGTATGCACAGGCCATTTTTTGGAAGTGTCTCCAGTGGCTGGTCTTACCCTCACCAAGAGAGGCCTCAGTTCATTTCTAAGTGCTGATGCCCACTAATAGCTGTTTTGGTTACCTAATGCCACTCTGACAGGGATATAACACAAATGGCATGGCTTTAACAAACAGGAGTTTATTTTTGCAGTTTTTGGAAGCTAGAAGTCTGAGTTCAAAGTGCCAGGCTCTGGGGGCTGAGTGAAAGCCCCTTGACCTTGGTCTGCTCTGCCTCATGCTCTCAGCCACTAAAGCATCTCTTTACTCAGGCAGCAGCTGGCTGCTGTGTCTGACAAACCCAAGGTTGACAAGGAAAAAGGCACAGTCCCAATATTACCAAACCACATAGCAGGCCATTGATTCAAGTCCATTAAGAGTCCCAAGATCAACAGAAAACATGGCAGGCTGCTGAACAACAACTGCATGCAGGGTTCAAGTGTGCCTAAAGCTCCAGACCATTCCCAAAGCTGCTGCTTATATATTGGGAGCAGACCACATCCCTAAGGCAGCTACTCAGCTGCTCCAATAGATTCCATCATAGAGTTGATTACCAGTCTCATCATGGGGAATACTACAGCCAGCTGCCCAGCCACTCAAAATATGGCCCAGCCAAGTGAACACATAACCTTAACTACCACAATAGCCATAAAATATTTTATAATTTTGTCCATCATAGCATGACATATGACTTAAGGTTTTTTTGTAGTTATATGGTAGATGAAAGCCCATTTTTTGGACTTGGTATGTAGGTTCCCCATATCTGGTCCAATCTATTTTGTATTCAGTGTAATGTCCCTACTACTTTATCCTTTATATACTACTATATAAAATTTACCTAAGCTCTTTTAATACTCAAAAGTAGAGAAGAAAGTGATTGGAAAGGGCTTTCAAAGGCTAAGTAACTCCAAGCATAATTTTATTTTGATATATTTGGTATTGAATCTTAACATGAAGTTCCTAGGAAGAGAGTGTATCATAAAGAATAGAATCCTTTTTGAAAATTCTGCCTCTTTTTGGGTAGCTTTCTAAGCTTACAGAATTTTTCTGAGAATAGACAGAAATTCTTAATGTGAAGATTATCTGAAAAATGGAAATCTTCAGGACTGGTGTGTGACAGAGGAAGCAGTTCTTAATACTGATTTCCATTTTTTCTTTAATCATTGATAGGCTCAGATTATCTACACCTCATTCTGTCAGTTCAAGTGATTTTTACTTTTGTAGAGTATTACCCATTTTCTGTCTTTCACTTTGAGCTTCTTGAGAGTGAGGTTGCATGCTGTGCCCCTTTTATGACATCAGAACTAAACAGATTATCTGGTTAAACAGGATAGTACAAACACAGTTAAAGGTCATTGAAGGAAGGAACAGAAGAAGAATATTCCAAATTAAGGTCATCTTAATTTATATAACAATTATAATCTGTATAATTTATTCATCAGTTACATCCTGAATTGTGACATCTTTGTTGTTAACTTATGTAGTTCTTTGGGCATCATACTTTGTTTCTCATTTTGTTTTAATCATTCAATTTTAAATTTCTTCTGGGTGTGCGACATGTCTCAAATTCCTTATGTCCAAGAGAATCTTGTGCAGTGCTTTATATTTGGTAAGCACTTTGTCAGTGTTTTTGAGACCATTAGTGTGTAATGAAAAGACCATGGGTTTGGGATCCAAACAACTAAATTTAAATTCTAGCTCTTACTTTGTCCAGCTCTGTGATTGTGGATTTATTGCTTAATCTTTCTAAGTCTCAGTTTCTTCATCTGTTAAATGGGGAAATAATACCTATTATGTCTGTTATGAAGATTAAGTAAGACATACATGTAAAACGCCTTTTCCTGGCATATAATGTTTGCAAAGCACCTAGAATTTAGTTGGTGTTTGTTCCTTTCTCATTTTTGTTTCATCCATATTAAAGAGGCAAAGTGGCATGGTGGTAATAATAATTGATGCTAAATGCTAAGTTTTAGCATTAGATTTGGCTGTATTTAATGAAATAAATAAATAATAGAAGTTTAGACATAATAGAAATTTATCTTACACAAAATACAAGTCTTGGATGTGGTTTCATGGTGTCAAAAAAGATGCTTATTTCTGCTATGCAGTACCTGGCTTTGATCAAGTACACCTCAATGTACAATGTAGCTGCAATATCTCTAGACATTACACCTGCACTCCAGGCAGAAGGGAGGAGAAAGTTTTATTTCATCTGATTCAGGTACTTTAATCAGCCTTCCTGGAAGTTCACACGACACTTGCAGTTACCATTGTTCAAACTTAGCATAGTCACATCCCCTTATCTAGCTCTGGGTATCAAATATTTGATGAGCAACTAACAATGTCTTCCATAAATAAGCCACAATTTTCCTAGTTCCATTTTGTGTGCATGCAATCTTGCCTCTATTGCGTGCTCTCTGTCTCTCTCTTTTAATTTCACTGAGCATTTTATATGGGGTGGCAAATTGATTTAATCTCTTGTGGATATTCCAAATGTTGATAGTGGCTGCCTGGAGTGGTATATTGATAAAATTCTGGGGTCTCATTTGGGCTCTGATTGATTAGCAGTGTCTACCATTGCCAGGAAAGGCATTGCTAGGAGTAGTTAGGATTTTATAGCTCAAATCCTGGTCCAAAATCTTCAATTTAAGAATGGGGAAAATAAAACATAATTTTACGTGAAAATTGAATTGCTCCTTGGAAGTAGTCACATTTTACTGTTTCTAAATTACTGAAATGATTAGCCCAGATGATTAGAAGCTTTAGAAAAATAAGTTCTCTTCCCTAAGGCAGTTTCTTTTTCAACTTTCTTTTGATATCCTGGCCTAGCAATAATGAGGTTCACTATCAAAAAAACCAAACTTACTGCCATCAAGCTGGATGCGACTCATGGCGACCCCTCCTTGGGTTTCCGAGGCAGTATCACTATGAAAGTAGATTGCCCAACCTTCCTTCTGAGGAGTGGCTGGTGGGTTTGAACCGCCAGCCTTCTGGTTAGCAGTCAAATGCCTTAGGCATTATGCCACCAGAGTTCCCAGGTATAGCCCTCCACTTTTACTGTGCCGCATGAACATGACTGACTAAATTGATTTCACCAGGGACATTTGGAAGGTACCACCACTGGGTTTTGTTTGTTTTCTTTTGAGCAACTTATTGTCATTTATAGATGAAGGACCAAGACCTGGGGATGAAATGCCCCTGCAGCACATCTGATTAATCATTGCTGCTGCTCTTCCTTTAGTCAGTGTCATATTGGAAACACAAGTGTTTGCATCTTACTGACTCCATATTGTATCATTAGAAAAAATGTCTTGCTTTAGATTTTTGATAGTCCTGTTAGCAGATCTTTCTCACCTAATTGTGTTCATCTAAACAGTAAAAAAGGCTAACAGTATTAATATATATCCACTTGGAAAGCTTGGTTTAATGCCAAAGACAAGACCTCAGTCCTTGTAGAAATAAAGAGAACCTTTTGAGCTGGATTCTCTGGTTATGTGTGCCCATAAAGACTCATAGTGACCTTCCTTGGGTTTCCGAGGCAGTGTCACTAAGGAAGTAGATTGACCCATCTTCCTTCTGAAGAGTGGCTGGTGGTTTTGAACCGCCAGGCTTCTGGTTACCAGTCAAATGCCTTGGCAGTACACCATCAGAGTTCCTAGAGTAACCATTTAGGAACCCTTTACGGTTTAATAAGGCTGTGTTAGCTGCTTGCTTTGTGATCTTTAGTGTGTGGACTGCTGGTTCCGAGCTAGAGGCAGTTTTGCCTGCTGGGGACATTTAACAGTGTCTGAAGATGTTTTCAGTTGTTACATCTGCAGAGGTGGGACTTGCTGCTGCCACCTGATGGTCAGGGCCCAGATGCTGCTAAACATTCTACAATGCACAGGACATCCTCCTACAACAAAGAAATATCTCTCCCAGATTGTCAATAGTGCTGAAGTTAAGAAACCTGGTACGAATTATTCATCCAGTAATGAATACTTTAGGAGCTCTGGTAGCATAGTGCCTAAGGCACTTGACTCCTAACCAGAAGGCTGGCGGTTCAAACCCACCAGCCACTCCTCGGAAGGAAGGTTGACAATCTACTTCCGTAGCAATACTGCCTTAGCAACCCAAGGAGGGGTTTCTATGAGTTGGGTCCGACTCGACGGCACATAACAGCAACAATGAATGCCTTATATGAGTATGAAAGTTAAAGTTATGGATCAGCTTGGCTGGACCATGGTTTTGAGTGGCTTGACAGCTGAATGTGGTTATTTCCCATGATGGCATTGGATGTGGAATAATCAACTCCATGGTGGAATCTGTTGTGAGCAGCTGATTAACTTACCTTCAGCACTATTGACAATCTGGGCCTTTTGGGGTGTGGCCTGCTTGCAGTGTATGTGGAGAAGCTTTGTGTCACATTTTGGATCCTGCATTTGGCTGAGTCTTCATCTCCAGTTTCTGGACCTGAAGCAGTGGCCCGCCATGTTGCCTGCCGATCGTGGGATTGTTCCTGAACTTGAACGGGTGGTCTACCGTATTGTCTGCTGACCTGGGAATTGTGCCATTTTACCTGCTGCTCTTGGGTTTGTCAGTCTCAGCAGCCAGTAGCTGTGTGAGTCAGAAGAAGCCTCCAGCTCCAGTGGGCCTGGAACAAGAGGCAGAGCAGATGGCCAAGGTTGAGGGGCCTTCACCCAGCTCCTTGAGCTGGCGTTCTGAACTCAGACTTATAGCCTCCTAAATTGTAAAGGATTAAATTCCTGTTTGTTAAAGCCATACACTTCTGGTATGTCTGTAAAAAATTGAGTTACTTACATTAATCTTTGGAACAGATTTGTTCCTTTCCCTGATCAAAGTTCTTGTGAAACCCTAAGCACATTTAGACTCAATAGTAGGTACATTTGTAATCCTAAATTACTTCAGAGAAGGGTTTTTTCTTATAGCTGCCAAATTATGGGTCTTGAAGTGTGAACATGACTTTTAAATTTTATTATTGAAATAATATTTTCACAAAGATATTTTTAGCTGTTCCCCAGAGTAGTGAATTACCAAGAGATAAGCAAGTAACCATAACCTACTTATGTCCAAATCCATTGTGGATGAGAGTAAAGGTGAAATTTCGATGTCATGAGTGTGTTTAGGTGTAAGGACTCATGTCATATGTCCAAAGGGCAGAATCAAGCAGGCATATGACTAGGATGCATGCCAAGACCAAAGGCTCCAAGGCAGTAACTATGTATATGAAAAATAGAACAATACAGTTTTCCTCTGTTGTGACTTCCGTCTCTTTGCATATAATCTCCATCAGTGATTCTCAACCCTCATTACACATTAGAATAACCTGGGGAGCTTTTTAAACTTCCAATGTCTGTGCCCTCGTCCCCTAGAAATTCGAATTTAATTGTGCTGGGATAGGACATGAGCATAAGTATTTTTTAAAAGCTCTCTTGGTGGCTCTAAAGTGCAGCCAGGTTTGTGAACCACTGATCTAGATCTGTTGGGTCTTTTGCATGAGAAATGAATGAGGAAGCTAGTTCCCCCCACCCCACACACGCACCCACCCCATCCCGGTCTTGAGTGACTGCTGGGAACTTCACCCTGTTACAGCTACAAAGCAAACACTGCCTGAAGGTCTGTTCTTTTCCAAATATTTTAGTATCTCTTTCACCAGCTCTAGCCTCTAGTCGTCATTTTTTTAGAGGAGCTTGAGCTTGTGAGCTGTAAGTAAATCAGTACATAAATTAGCACTTCTAAGGGGCGGGGGACAACTTGAAGGGTATAATTTTATGAATATAAGTTGTTTCTTTTGCCATAAACAACAACAAAAAAAACAAACTCATTGTCATTGAGTCGATTGTGACTCATAGCAACCTCTCCTTGGGTTTCCGAGGTGATATCTCTATGGAAGTACATTTCCCAACCTTCGTTCCGAACAGTGGCTGGTGGGTTTGAACTGCCAGCCTTCTGGTTAGCAGTCAGATGTCTTAGGTGCTAAGCCACCAGAGCTAGTTATTGTTTTTGTTTTATACCACAAATGGAGCAACCTTCTTGAAAAACAATTTAGAATTATGCTTTCTTTTTAAAGTAAGGATATTTCTCTAGTAATTACTACCAACACATACCATGGTGCTGAATTCACTTAAAAAATTTATTTACTTTCCAGTTTTGAAGAGAGATGTTCGGTGTATCTGTTGAGGACACAGTAGTTATAGATGCATCTGGTTAATTGCTTTTTTTTTCACTGTTTAGTTTCAAAGTTCTTCAGATTAAAGATTAAAAACATGAAGAATTTGTAGTGTTTTGGTGCTATTGTTTTTCACAACTGTAAATTTAGATGGCATTTTTTGCCTTCAAAAGTTGGCCAGCCGGTCAGTAGTTTGAATTATACCTAGAAAGAGATCTAATGTAGAAATGAGGTTAGATTATTTCTCTACCTTAGCTCCCAACAAAGGACATGACTCCATGACTTTGGAATTAAAATCACTAAATGATTTATTTTAATTGTCAAATGATCCATGAGAAGTAACCTTGTTAATTGTGTCATGAAAGAAATAATCATCGACATTCTTGGCACCTGTTCTGCTATTACACTGGCCTTTGCAAATGGTTTTCCTTCCACCCCAGTCCTAAATCAGTGCTGGGCAGGATTGTACAACACTGGACTGTCAGCTGTTTGTAATCAACAAAGTACAGAATTTGAGAGTAAATTATTATAAACCTTTATAGCAACTTGACATTGTCATGACATTTTTCTCACACTTTATCAAAATGTCAGTCTTCAGTAGATTGGGGTGAGGGGAGAAGCACTCTGGTCCTTTACCACAAGTAGTTTGAGAAGCACTGTCCTAGATAGTTCATAATTCCTACTCAATCTTTAGCTGTTGGCTAAAGTGTCATTGTTGTAGGAAGCCACCTCTGACTGCCCAGACTCAAGTCAAATCCCCTGAAATGGACTTCCGTGACGTTTAGGTTCTTCCTGTACATTTTTCACAGTCACGGTTTGGTTTCTGTGTTAGTAACCATTTTGTTGAAATTTGCTTCAGTTGTTGTGAATTGTTGAGTTGATTCTGACTCGTAATGACCCCATGTGACAGTAGAACTGCCCCATAGGGTTTCCTAGGCTATGATCTTTTGGGAGCAGATCACCAGCTCTTTTCTCCTGTAGAGACTGGCAGAGTTTAAACGCTGACCTTTTGGTTACTAGATGAGCATTTAACCACTGTGCCAGGAGGGCGCCTTCTGCTTTTCTTAGTTGATGTAAATTCCATGAGAACATGATCCATTTCTGCTTTTCCCCATCACCGCATTCTCAGTGCTTGGCATGTAATAGATATTTAACTGATACGTGTTGAATGAATGATCATCCTGCTGTTCTCTTTAGCTCTGGAATCATGGGTGATTCCTTTCTTCCCTCATCCTGTAGGAGCTCTCACTTATGGTCCTACTCCCCAAGTGCAGCCCAAGCTGGCTGTATGGAGGACAGTAAGGACTAGTGGACATAGATGCTATTCCTACCTTGAGACACCTCACTGGTTTTCCTAGGTCTGCCTCCCTCTATCTTCACAGCAAGTTAGAAGCATTTTCTTGTTCTAGTGGCTGGATGTCATTTTTCCTAACCTGTCTGAGAAAAGACTACATTTTTGCAATTTAGTATAATTTAAAAGCACTTTTAATTACAAGAAACTCAAAATCATAGCTGTATTATTCAGCTAACATCAATGGAATGATCAGTTAGGTATAATTTAGTCTGATTTTTTTTTTTTTTT